AACAACGCAGTCATAATTTTATTACACAAGCAAGGAGACATAACAGATCTAAAGAACTACAGTTTTCTTTCACACATTTATAAACTTTTCACAAAAATTGTCAAAAAAGACTGGATGCTAAGTTAGACTTCTATTAGCCTAAATAACAATCTGGATTTATATTGCGATACAGCATTAATGACCATTTACAAGTCTGTAGTATACAACAAACCATTGGCACTGATATTTGTGGACTACGAGAAAGCATTCGATACTACAAGCCATAAGAAAATGTTAAAAACGTTGACAGAATGAAGAATAGACCATCGCTACACTAACATAATCAAATATATCTACCAAAATGCCACAGCTAGCTTAAAACTATCTGAACAAGAAACAAATAAATTCTGTATACAGCCAGGAGTACGGCAAGGAGACACCATCTCTCTAAAGCTATTCACGACGCTGTATTTCTAATTTGTACATTGCCTCCCATAGTTCTGACCTTGGTACAGAGTCATACGCCTTTCTCAGGTCCCCAAATGCCAAATTTATATCTCTATTTTTTGCTTTTTTCTTTTCCAACAGTTGTTCCAGTGTATATATGTTTTCTATGCATGATCTTCCTGCCGTGAATCCTGCCTGATCCTCCCCGATTTTGCATTTTATCGCTTGCTCTAACTTTTCTCGCAGTATCTTCCGATATAATCTTCCTATTGATGATATTACTCTTATTCCTCTGTAGTTTTCGCATTGTTTTCTATATTCTTTTCTTAAAAAGAGAAATCTTATATGCTTCCGTCCATTCCTTTGGGAGCTGTTCTCCATTTATGCCTTTCTGAAATATCCATTGTATCATCCGGTGTAATTTACACATTACACCCAATTACAAATTGGTGTTAATATTCATGATAAATGAGCATTGTGGTATTTATTGCATTGCGTTCTATTAATCATTTTTAATAAATGACTCAAAATCAATTTAAATTAATCACTCAATAATCTCAATTGGTAAATATACCTGCTATTGAATCTGAGAACTCTTCTTCCTAAATACCGTTTCACTGTCGACATAAAAGAGCAAATTACATGACCACCCTTCGGAGATCATTTTTCTCAAAGGCCTCTCCAAAATGTATGAAACAAAAGTAAATGAGCTGATTCATATGCATGCATCTCTTTCAAACACATTTAAACCGAACATATCTTGAGCTATACCGATCTAAACACCAATTACGTGTCACTAATTTCGTATTCAAGAATTTTAACAATTCTGCCATGTATAATTTTCAAAAATCTTTTAGGTCGTCTGTCATTAAAGCTACTGTTTAGTGTAGGTTGTTGCCCTTGTCTTTTTTGGGCTATCGACATATTCAATCTGATATTGACCGAATATATGATTTTATGAAGTAACTATTTGATGAAATATAAGACATCAATAACAGTAAACAATCCATAGATTTACTATACTAAAATCACAATCAAGATGCACTAGAAATAAACAAACCAAGACACTTGAATGTTACGAGGAACACTCCCGAATCAGGATTTAAAATGTATAAACTTTGTAAATCATTATTTGAGAGTGCTCCTTGTAACATTTAACTTGTCTTAGTTTGTTTATTTATAATGCATATTGATTGTGATTTTAGTATAGCTCTGAAATATATCAAATATTTGTAATAGTATAACACAAACTTTACTTAACTCTTTGAAGTGGAACTCATTCTGGTTATTCAAAAAAACATTGATTCAACGGATTATATACAAATACATATACGAAGGAAGTTTGTTAACATACCTATTAACTTTTAAGGCAATCGATGAAATGTCTGAATACTCAGTATACCGTTAACGGGGAACGATTCACCTATAGCTATACATATTTTTTGCTTTCTAAATTCTATGTGTGCGCTAACCAATACTATACTCACGCAGCAACTGCTGCCGGTAGTATCATTAAAATTAAATGTTAATTGTCTACTTGGTGTCGAACAAAGCCTTGTAAGGATAACTTTTATTATGTTTAATTCCATGCAATTATTTTTTCAAGTCGATAATCTTCCACAAAACGTTATAATGTACAGGGTGTTACCTACTCGTCGAAGAATCAACAAAAATTTGGGTTGAAAATATTTTTTGAATCTTATATTAATCATCATCATCACTCTCTTGGTCTTTATAACGTATATCGGATATTACATTGCTCCATATAATTATATCTTGATTGGTGCGGATATAATTTAGTTCACAAACAAGTCCCGTTTAACCGTCTCTAATTATCGTGTTTTATCGGATTAGGAATAAACAGTAAACATCAAAGTGACATAACAATCCGAACCCCATTATAAGGGCTTATCTTGGCAAACATAATAAATAATTAGAATTTCAACCATATCAGTTTAATTTTTAGTTCATTTTTTTTCTAAATTTGCTTATGAGTTCAATAAGATTAGTAACAATCAAAATTTGAAGGTGTGCGGTTCTTGGTTTTTTGAACGTCGTTTGCAATGCCTAAAGCGCGAAGTAGTGCTTCGGCGGGTAGTTGACCCAAGGGAAGCTGGACTTTCGTTTTGGAAAATTGCGAATAGGGTTTACAAAAGTCCTCAGAAAAAATCCTCAGCTTTGTGGTTATGGTTTGGTGTCTTGGGGAGTGCGTTGGCGTTGCTTATGGTTCAAGGTCACCTCCAATCTTTGTCGGAAGGAATATGACAGCTCACTGATACGTAGAAAAATTCTGTAACCCTACCTACCTGATACCCTACCTCCAGACGCTAGTTATATCCACTCTATTCTTCTTTATGGTGTCGAAGCATGGACTCTTAATGTTGACTTAATGAGGAAACTGGAATCTTTTGAGATGTGGCTTTTTAGGAGAATTTTGAAGAGTCCATAGACCGATCATATTACGAACGAAATGGTGTTGCACAAAATGGGAAGAGACATAAAACTTTTGACCACCATTAAAAGGTGAAAGACAGCGTGTTTGGGGCACATACAAAGGAAAAAGAGGTCCTGGTAGACGACAAATATCGTGGCTGAAAAACATTCGCGACTGAACCGGGTTAAACACACAGACACTCTTAAGAAAAGCGGCAGATAGAGACGAATTTGCAATTGTTATAGCCATCCTTCATTAGTGGATACGGCACTAGAAAAAGACTATTTTTTCTTTACCTGAAGTTTTTTTTTGCAAAAGTCCAAAAAAAAGTAAAAAAGTCAAGAAAGTTTATTTCTATGTATTTAACGTTAGTTCATTTGTAATTTTTAGTGATTTTGTGTTGTTTCTGATTTGCCCAAAAAATTTTAAATGCCAACAATTTGTGGTTGTCGGTAATTTTGTAATTTAAGCGAAGAGGGCGGTTTTTGCTTTACCGGAAATTTCACTAAAAGTTGAAGCTAATCCATCAACGGTGTTAAGAGTTTGGAGAAGGTGGTCCAATAATGGTGGTGAAATTCCATTTCCCTTGAGATTAATTTTTCCCATGCCAATATTTCTAACCCTTCTTAGAAGAAATAAAGGAAGATTCTAACGGTACTTTTAGGGGTAGGAGCCCTGCGCTACCTGCCTACATAATTTAGATATCACATATCACCCAGATCAGAAAAAGCTTTTACCACAGTCGGTCGCAAAATCTCGTAAGCTGACATCGCTAGCTCGCAAATTCGCTTAATAATATATTATATGTATTTGTAACTAAATAGTTCGCGTCGCAATATTATTTATAACGATTATAAGTCAATTATTTATAGTTATCAGTGTTTCTTAAAACCGCAGTATAGTTTTCATATAAAAGTTCATCTATTCAAACCAGCAGTGTTGCCAGTAGTGCGCTTTAAGCGCCAGTGAAAAGTGTAGTTGAAATACCCCACATCGCAGTGTTTTCGGACAGATTTCAGAAATTGCTATTTAATCTTAGTATTAAAATATAAGTTAGTGTTTACTTCTGTTTTTCATTCGGTCCGTCCTTTAATTCTCTAAATAAGTTATTATTCAACCAAATGGGATTTATCTGCGTCGCGGAGGGTCTGGATGTCCTAGATTATTGCAAGGCCATGATTTTCGCCATCTTAGACGTCTGCTCTCAGAAATAGACGGGGCAGTATATATCGAGTAAGAGATGATTTAGTTGCAGCTACAGGAAGGGTAGTCTTAAGAAGAACAGTTAATCAAGGATTACTCGGAATGGGACTAAGAACTTAACGTCCGCGTTTGATGTTACCTTTGACACCACAGCATAAGGCTCGACGCTAAGAATGGTGCAGAGATCGGCAAAACTAGAATGGTCTGCTTCAGTGTTGAATCTAGGTTTTATTTGGGTAGCTCTGATGGGCGCATAATGGTATGACTTTTTCGAGGTAAGACACGAAACATAGACTAAGCTATCGAACGTCATACAACAAGATAACGAAGCATTATGGTATAGGGTGCTATACGTTTGGGAAGCATATCACCTCTAGTTCTCATTAACGGAACTCTGACAGCTTGACGATATATTGGTAAAGTACTGCAATCGATTTTACATCCCTACCCACAAACCATTCGAAATCTGATCTTTTAACAGGATAACACAAGAGCTCATATTGCCCGTGAAACCATAGAGTTCATACAAGAATCTGGTATAGAGACTTTGGAGTGGCCATCAATATCAGCCGATTTGTCACTCATCTACCATCTGTGGAATATGGTAGGTCGAAACCTAAATCGATTGCCACGTCCTCCAGCAAACTTAAAAGACCTGTGACATGCCATAAGAAGAATCTGGATGAGTATTCCGCGATATGATATAGACCACTTAATTTGATTAATGCTTCATTAGTAACCGAGTGTATAGAAATTCAAGAATTGAATAAGAATTTTTTTACCGGAGATGGAACAGAGAACAACTCTGTTTCTAGTATGACCATGAAAAAAAAATGGACAGGTGTTGATTGTGACGAGAAAGTCAATTCTCCCATAGCTTACTTAAAATAATGAATGTACCAAAACTCATAAACTAAAAAAAAAACAAACATATTATGTTAAATATATTGAATATAGACTTTATGATAAAATACTTGACATATAATATATCCTATTTTACTTAGAAGTAGACGTTTTCAGGTCTGTTTCTTCGTCGCTTAACTCCGACGAACTGGAAGTTTCCAGATCGTATCCGAAAATGAACGGTTTCCCATCTTTCATCTGTCTGGCATAAGTACCAGTTAGACTAGAATGGCATGCGTTGTGATGGGTAGAAATCCTTTCTTTATCTGTATTCGCCTCGGAAGTTTCTTCTGCTGTCGATTCTTCTGGACGGAAATGCTCATAGGAAAGATCTGCAACGGTGTGTTCATGATTTCGCTGCATGTGATCGTCTGGATTTACTGGAAATAGAAAAAATAGTTCTTGTAAAAGAAATTCTAAACTAGATCTATTGTTATAAAATGCTTTACTCAATTCTCTCCCATTTCGTCTCGTTCTTTCTGTAACGCTTTCTAACTATGTTTTATTTTTTCCATACATGTTCTTTCTTATTCTTAAGGTGCTTTCTCCATTACTGAAGCTTGGCTATAACTACAGCAAATTGGTCTCTATCTTGAGCTGTTCTTGGTATGTGTGTCCATACCTGTCCAGTCTCTTACATTCTTCAACCAGGAGAATTTTCTTCTTTTTGGACCTCTTCTTCCTTCTACTTTCCCTTCCATTATAAGTCGAAGGAAGTTGTATTTTTCTCCTCTGCTCATTCTTCTTAGCACCTCGTTGTTGGTCACGTGTTCTGTCCAAGAGATCTTCAGCATCCTTCGAAAAACCCACATCTCAAAGGCTTCTATACGCCTTATACTTGTTATTCCGAGAGTCCATGTTTCCACTCCGTATAGCAATATTGAATAAAAAAACGTTTTTACAAATTGGTATCGGATATCCAACGATAACGTAGAGTTTATTAGGAATTTTTTCATTCGTTGAAATGCGGACCTAGCATATTCTATACGATCACGTATTACAACCTCGTACAATTTTGAGTAAAATTGTCAGAAAATGGCTCATCAGGCTAATTAATCTAAACTGTGAGCATCTATTTGCTTTATTTTTCTTGGGTATAGGTAGAAATGTCGATCTAAACCAGTCTTCTGGGAAGATTCCAGTGGTACATATTTTGTTAAATAATATTGTTAATGTCTGAAGATTTTCTTCATTGATAAGCTTTATCAGCTCTACGTATATTTCATCTGGACCTTAGGCTTTTCGTGGCATTGCCGTATTGATTGTTTTTGTAACTTCCGATGTTAATATATCAAGTATTGTTTCTTGTACTACATTCATTTGTGGTCTGTTCTCTCGTCATTTAACAGATCTTCGATGTATTTTTCCCACATATCTCCTACATTTTCTGGACATGTTCTTTACTCCCTCTATTTTTCCTAGGTCTCACACATTTAAAAGCTTTGGTAGATATAGAACAAAACATTCGTGCTACTATGATAGTTGTAGATAATATTTAGACTTACCTCCGTATCTAGAGTCAAATGCTGCATGTGAATCTTGTACAGGTTCTCCAAATTTTTGTCCACTTTGATCCGTTTCTCCGCTAAAGGTAACAGACAGTATTCGAGGCATTTCACCACTTCTTGATTTTTCAGTACTGGAATGTTTTTGTATAACCATCCCTTTAGCGTAATTAGTATTGTCCTCTTGACTGCTTTTTCTTGTGCTATTTCTACTAAAAAAAAAGAAAAGAGAACATTGATAAAAAAAGTTATTATGTGAAAATTATCAAATTAGCAAGAATGTGCATATATTAAGATATAGATATATTTGGACATCATTATCCTCATAGTTATAGTTATTCCTATTCTTCTTCAAGTGCCATCTCGGCGGCGGAGGTCGACAATCATCATAGCTATTCGGACTTTTAAGACGGCTGCTCTGAAAAGTTCAGTTTATGTACATCCGTACCACTCTCTCAGGTTGCGCAGCCATGACATTCTACGCCTCCCTATCCTTCTCTTTCCTTGGATCTTTCCCTGCATAATCAGTTGAAGCAAGGTGTATTTCTCTCTACGTGTAATATGTCCGAGATATTCTAATTTTCTTGTTTTTATTGTATTTAAAATTTCCATTTCTTTATTCATTCTTTCCAGAACCTCTTTGTTTGTGACGTGTTCTGTCCACGATATTTTAGAGTATTCTTTTGTAAACCCACAGCTTGAATGATTCCAGTTTTTTTATTGATGTTGCATTTAAGGTTTAAGATTCCATTCCATAAAATAAAGTCGAAAAAACATAGCACCTCGCCAACCTAACTCTTAGTTCCAGTTTTAAATCCCTGGTACATAGCCCTCTTCTCATTTTGTTGAAATTTGCTCTAGCCTTTTTTATTCTTATTTTGATTTCCTGATTGTAATCATTTGTGGAGTTAATCATTGTTCCCAGATATGCATATTTGTCAACTTGTTCGACGCTGGTTCCGTTTATTAGAAGATTCCCGTTATTTCTTTGAGTTTTCGATATTCTTATAAATTTCGTCTTCTTGACATTCATTGTTAGACCATACTCTTTTCCATACTCTGGTATTCTGGTCATCAGTCTCTGAAATGTTTTCGGCTAAAATCACAGTGTTGTCCGCATATCTAATGTTGTTAATGGGAACTCTATTTACCTTTATTCCAGCTGTTTCACCCTCAAGAACTTTTTTCAGGATCTCTTCGGAGTAGCCATTAAAAAGAATTGGCGACAATACGCATCCCTGTCTCATCCCACATCTAATCTCAATTTCTTCTAGCAGCTGTTCGTTAACACGTACTTTTGCTTGCTATTTATAGTATAAATTTGATAATTATCCTGAGGTTGTTCTAGTCAATCTTCTTTGATTTCAGGACATTCATTAATTTTTTTTGTTGTACTTTTTCGAATGCTTTATTATAGTCAATAAAACATGCGTATACATCTTGATTGACGTCCAGGCATCTTTGTATCAAAATATTAAGTGAAAAAAAGAGCTTTACGCGTTCCTAACCTTTGCGAAAACCAATTGCTTTAGCATATGAGACATCAAGCTAATGGTAATCGCTGCATTCTCTTGCGTTTTTCTTTTAGGGAGACAAATAAAAATCGATGTTAACCACTTTTTGGGTAATACGCCTGAACTATAAATTTGGTTCTAGAGTGTCACTAAAACATCAATGTGCTTTTCGTCTAGAATTTTTAGGATTTCTATAGGAAACATGTCAGGTCCAGGGCTTTTCCCACTCTTCATTTTTTTATTGCGTGTAATATTTCTTCTTTTGTAATACATGGACCTATTTCTTTTGACGTAAGTTCTATGTGCTCCAGATCTCCTCTTTCATCATCGAACAATTCGTCGATATATTCTGCTCATCTTTGTACTTTCTCGTTCGTATGTATTATAGTAGTCCCGTGTCTATCCAGAATTGCACGAGAGGGATTTTGTTTTCTTAGTCCTGCCAGTTCTTTAACTTTCTTGTGTAGGTTAAACAGATCATATTTATTTTGAAGGTCTTTGATCTCTTTGCATTGCTCTTCAAAATATTTTTCTTTTGCCTGCTTTGTTTTCCTGATCTCGTGGTTTATCTCTCTGTATTTATTGTTGTCCTTCTTTTTAAATTGTCTCCGTTGTTCCATCATATTGAGTATCACGTCATTTAGTATTTCTTTACAGGTTTCCAGTAGACAATGTTTTAGTCGATCCCAGTACTCGTCAATATCATTGGTGTTTGTGTTCAATTTGTTGCAGTTTACATGCAGTTCATGTTGGAGGCATTCTTTTACTTTAGGTTCTTTAAGTTTTCTTGTATCTATTGTAGGGATTCTTTGATGCCTTTTAATATTTTTAAGGGTGAGTGTTATCTTGGCGATAAGTAGTTTGTGATCTGAGGCCACGTCTGATCCAGGATATGCTTTCACGGCTTTAACAGCATTACGGTATCTTTCATTGATCATAATGTAGTCTATCTGGTTCCTGACTACTTTCTCCGATGTGGACGATCGCCATATATACAGTCGTCTGTTTGGTAACTTGAAAAATGTGTATGTAATAATAGAGAGCAAGTTTTGCTCTTGATAGAATTGTAACAGACGGTCTCCTCTCTCGTTTCGATTTCCCAGACCATAGTTTCGTATAAACTTTTCGCTTTGTCCCTTTCCAATCTTTGCATTGAGATCACCTAGGACTATCGTGATTTCTCTTGTTTTCGTTATTCTAAGTTCTTCTTCGATATCTCGGTAAAATAATTTTACTTCTTCTTCGCCAAAATTCGCCGTAGGAGTATAAACTTGTATCAAATTCAGTTTGGCATGAGATGTTACTAACTTCAGTACCATCACCCTTTCTGAGAAAGGGAAATAACATTCCACCGCTCTATTACATTTTTTGGTCTGTGTCTTGTGTCTGTGTTGGTAATTCTCGCTACCGGAATAATATATTGTGGCTTCGTCTGTTGAAAAACAACCACCTGGTTGGGCCACCTAGCTTCACTGGTACCCAGTACATCTATATTCAACCTGTTCATTTCTTGAATAGCGTTGTGCATTTTACCGGACTGAAACATGCTCTGAACATTCCAGGTTCCTATTCTAGTGTTGGACAATCTTATTTTTTAATCCACGTTCTTTTGACAAGGAATTCTCTGATTAACGACCTGAGAGTCCTTGTCTTCTTCTTCCCTGCCGGATCTTGGCTTCCGAGGACCATGATCAGTAACGCCGTTATTAGTTTCTAAAACCATGATGATTTTATTCTATACCAGTTATTCCTATAAAGATCATTAAAAGCAGAAAAAATACAAAAACAGTTTAAAAGCAAAGTGAAAAACATAAACTTATAATTTATTTAAACTTATAATTTAAAGGTTATTTAAAAGTTCCTTCATAAAAGGTATATATTACATGTACATCCAGATAGCAATGATGATGGAATATTAATTCCGAAAACGTCGTATGATGTAGCCCGATAGGGTGTTTTAATATATACCTTTTATAAAGAAATTTTTAAATAAATTTTTTGTGATACATGGTATACAGCCAGCTACAGGAATTTAGTTTCCTTGTGGATTATAAACTCATAACTTTAACTTTGAATAAAATTAGAAATAAAGGAAATGGAAAATAATGGGGCACCTGAAAAAGTCAATGTGGCAGTGGAAATACATAAAAAATGAGGAAAACATTCTCTCGATACCCTTCTAAATAAAATATTACAATTATGTAAAAAAAGAGATAAGACTGATATGCAATACTACAGGCTGATAACCCTTTTTAATCATCATCATAATTTTTTTCATTTGTTGTATTCTTTTATTTATCGTCCAACCAATAATTTTTACGGTCTCCAGTTTCTGTTCCTATTTCCTCTTTCGCTGCTGCTTCAATGTCTTCCTTTATTCTAGTCCAGTAGGAGACTATATGTGTCTGGCCTTCCTTATTTACATTTTGATTCCTTAGCCTGTTGGTGATGTTTTCCTACATTGTTCTGGTCTTTTTATTGTGTTTAGTTTAACTTAGTAATTACAGCAATTTAAATGTAACAAAAAAAATGTAAGTCAAAAACAGCTGTTGTCGTCGCTGTATGTGGTAACCATGTTTTCTATTTTAAGTATTTGATGTGAATTATACATATGTATAAGGGTTAGATCCAAGATCTGTGGCCTAGAGAGCCCGATCTTTGTTTTTTAATATGTTGTTTGTCCACAATTTTCCTTCTATGAAGTATTTATTGCCTAATTGACGATAGCTCTGATGATGACATTTATTATGTCGAAAGTATACTAAGCTTAATTAATAAATTATTTTAAACATTATCAATTTTATTGAAAACATACAAAACGTGTTTACCAGTTAGACCTATTTAGAAGTGTGTACAAGTCTTACAGTCTTTTTCAATTTTTCAATTAACTTAGTAATAACTAAGTTACGCATCTTTTAGTAACAAATAAAATATAACTAATTAATTTAAAATCTTACTCATCAATTCTCGTTTTATCTGCACTTCCTCTTTGCTGTACACCTTTCATATCGTCTTCGACTCCAGGAAATGATTCGTCCAATGTTACAGACTCAATTGCTCCATCTTCTTCATGTAAAATGTCACACCAACATTCGTCTATTATCATTCCTCCCGACGGGTGTTTGTTCTTCTGAAGTTTGGATTTTGATGAACTGGCTGCATTGATATTAATGTTTGGGCATCGGCTCCCGTAACGTATGTTTTGAACTGATGTAGTGGTCCCGTGTTTTCTATAAATGAAAGGTAAATATTAAATTGTTCAACCAATAGATACATACATATTTATATATTATGATATTGGAATTTACTCTGAATTTAAATACAGTTACTGATTTTATAAAATTCAATAAAACTGACAAAACAAACAATAAAAATAAATTTAATATTTTTTTATTCAATAAATATCTCAATGATCTTAATTAGTGAGTGAGTTCTAAAATACCTTTGCTTTTAATAGTGTTTAATACATTCAAAGAAATAGAAGGAAATAAAAGAAATACCACAATATTTGACACAATTAAAATATATTGATAAATACATTGAATAATTTTATTACACATAAAACAAACCAAATATAAATATCCCTCCATCCCTATCTTGACAATTGAAAACTGCACAGTGCAAAGATATTCTCTTTACTAACTGACCTACATTACTTTACATAACTTATAAAACCAAACAACTTTATAAATTTAATCATTTACTATTCCGTTTCAAAACTTTATATATCTCTAATATTGTTCCCAAATTTTAATAAATCTAATAACTTCCAATTTGTTTCAATTCTAAAATTGACTGTCTTGTTAAACCGCTAATTTAATTCCCTGCTTGGATCTGCTCCCAAAAACAAATCTCGATCTAACATCCTAACCAAAACACCGATCTCCTTTTGAATACTAAAATCTCCTAAGCTTCTCCCGATGCAATAATAATTGATTGGTACTTACAAAGACTGTTAACATTGCACTGCTACCACTTTTTTAAATACTTTCGAAAACAAAATTATCTTTTTATTTACACAATTTAACTTTTTTCTACTGTTCAAATTCACCGGCATACAACCCCTTTTCAGCTTCAGATGTTATTCTTTTCACGAACAGCCTTTTCTCCGCTTTCAAAATTCCATCAAACATACACTTACTCCTACCATTATCCCTTTCCAACCAATCACATTTTAGTATTTCAAACACACTAGTAGAATTCCCGTTTCCTACGAAATCCATCCAATTTTTTCTTGTTTTCGATATAACTCAAACTAAAGATTTTGCAGAAATTAACTTTTACAAACTTTCCCCGTTTTGAAAGACAATAGCTTAATACGGTTAATTGCTGTTTTCATATTCCCATCTTAAAAAACAACTTCAAATGGGTTTTCCCTGAATATTTAAACGAAACACTTTTTGTAACAATAAAACCCTGAAAACTTTTCGGTCGAATGGTCGAATCCATCAATTATTTGAAACACTTTCTATTCATACATATTTTTAGATTTAATTCTGCCTAATATTTTAAATTTCACAATTCACTATACGTCGAAAATAAGTCCTTTTCATTTCCAACACAAATAAAACCATATATGAATATAATTCCATTCTCTAATTTTTTTACATGTAGAAATAACAATTTTTGTCATTTTTCCTGTTCTCTGTCATTTAAACTTTGTGCATATTTTGATAATGACCAACGTTTTAACCTTGTTTAGTCTCTGTGCCTCTTCAAGGGTGGTATTTATTGTTGGATGAACGTGAATCTGCATGTTGCCGCTCTCCGGGACAAGTGGAGGCTGTAAAGCAGAAGTGTCAGAAGGATTTCCTACCTTTTGGACGCCGATTGCACCAAGCCTGCTACTAAGGACAGGTTCCATTGGGAAAAACGGTCTTTTTCAGATTATTGGCCTTTTTGTTTTGTTCGGTTTAAACGTGTGGAGGAGAGCTGTAGCTGTGTCCTCACCTTGGATCAGGTATCGTTGTGCAATGAGATTGGGAAACCACAGAAAATCAATCGCCCCATGTCCTTATGATTTTGAATGCGACTCTTAAGGAGAGATCCTGATATTCTAATATCATTGGTCCCAGACATTCCAAGATGCAATGGTCCAATGTCATTGATGCTTGGCTAAAATAATTCGAGTAATAATCGTTACAATTCCTTAAAACAAGGCCTCAAGACTGCTCGATTCCCTTATCAGTAAGCATCTAGCATCTATGCCACACAGTCCGTGAGTGTAATTTTCGCTTGTTTGGTGCGATGAATTACTTTGCTGTTATTGTTGTTTGTAAACTAAAGATTTTTTAAAAAGGATAAGCCAGGACCGTCGGGAATAAAAACAAGATGTGCTGTGGACTGCACCATTTTTGGACAACCATTCAATATTTCTGAAAATGTGTTACCGACGTTTGAACAAGTGATGAAATTTTGTGCTTGAAGGAGGCTAAACAAAAAACTTACCAAGAAAGAGTATAATTTTCCGTTATTGCCGAAGAGGTTGCCATGAAATTGGAGGAAATGTGAAAAAAGGCTTCAATTCCAATAGTTTCACGTACAAGAATAATTCAGCTTTTAAAATCCTACCACGACAGATACACCAAGGTTATGAAGCCATTTAAGAGCAGGCAAAACAGTAAGTCTTACCAAAATAAAATTCTATGCTTTCAGGAGAAAAGTTAAACTACTTTCGATTTTGTAGCAAGCAAATGTAATACTCCACTGAATTGCCTTTTTAGAAAATCTCAAAAAGTGCCTCTCAATGAACGAGAATTTTTATTAGATTAAAGAGGTCCGAGAAAAATGGTGATAAGCTCGGTTTATAGAGAGACAACAAGAAAATATATTTAGAGAGAACAACGATAAAAGAAGAAAGATACCGTAGCTATTGAGAATGATATTAATCCAGTACCTGAATGCGATTCTTCTTCAAGTTCAGAATCAAATAATTTTATTAATGATGTTGATGATGTTACGACTCATTATTCGGGAACTTGGATTGCGCCGCATCTTAAAAGCAAGAAGGCACTTTCCCGCGAAAAAACGTGAGGGTCTTCAAAATTTCTCCTATAAATTTTGATGCAGCCAATTGGTTGCCTAAATGGATTACTTTGGAGCTCTGAAATAGGAATAAAGCGAAAATATAACATCTATGAGTCACTAATTTAAAGCAGTCTACTTTATGGAGCAGAAACTTGGAGAATAACCGAGAACAACAGAAAAAAATTAGAAGCTGTAGAAATGGATGTGTTTAGAAGATCGTTAGGTATATCCCGCAGGGAAAGAGTTCGAAATGAGGAAGTAGACGAAGAATTGGAATACAACAGACATTGAGAGGAAACAGTTGATTTGGTATGGTCATGTTCAAAGAATGGAAGACACAAGACTACCCAAGAAGATTATGCAGTGGGTACCACCAAACCGCAAAAAAACGAGGAAGACCCAAAAAGACATGGAAAGAAGGGGTAACTAAAGCAATGAGTACAAGAGATCTTAGAGACGGCCAATGGGTTGATAGGAGGACGTGGAAGTTAGGCATCGGACAACGTCGAAAGACGTTCTAAAACCGATATAAATATATATATATATATATATATATATATATATATATATATATATATATATATATATATATAAATTTTGATGCAAACGACTACTTTCAGTTAATTAATTGGCAAGAGTGTAACCTCTTCTCTAGAATTTCGAATGACGATTTGCGAGATTTTATTACGAATCCTGACTTAGACCCTTTTAACATTGAGAAATATCACTGCCATACACAATGTGTAGAACAATGTGTCAAGTTTGTGACAGAAGCTTCTCAAGCAGTTTGTGGAGCGGATTCGAGAGATGGATTTATAAAAACGCGAATTAATTCCAGAAAAACCAGAAAAAGTTTTAATTATTTTTGTTAATAACCTTTTATTTTCCATTTTACCATAAAAAGTAATAGAAATAGATTCATATACAATTTAATTTGCTACAAATAATGTACAATACCATTTTTATAGGATTGCTAGTTTAGGAGAACAGCGCGAAAACTCTTTGCACATTCCAAGATAACGAATATTCAAGAACCCAGCCAACTTCGGAGCGGAATAAAACATATAGAAATTAATGAAATTAAACAAATTTGTAGTGAAAATTGTAAAAAAAAACCTGTATGACATTGCTCTGATGTCATTTTATTGTACAATTACCAGAAAAAAAGTTATAAGGCCCGAAAAATTTGTTCCAAAATGTTTAGTCATTTTTGTTTAGAACTGTTTTTTTATTTATCTTTATTTTTTATTTTGCGATTCAAAGTAATAGATTTTATTTTGTTTATTTATTTTCCATTTTACGATAAAGGTATTAGAAATAAAGTTGTAGACAATTTAATTTGCTACGAGTAATGAGCACTTTGTCAGATACAAATGTATCTGACCAATCAGCAAAATCTTTGTAACTGAAACATTACGAATAAAGAAAATTTACCTTGATTGTTCCTTTATATGCCCAGTATTATCAGCTCTTTCTAATTTTCGAGGCAGACTCCTATTTTCAGTTGTCACTTCAGATATTTCTTCAATAGACGGTAGCTTCTTCATCGTAGTAGTCTGAGTGTCTAGCACAGCAGGTCTGTTTTTCTCCATGTACGGTTCTAAATAAGGAGGATAACAAATAGTCACAGCCTTATCCCTTTGCTTTTGTTTTCTCTTCTTAATCTTTTCTTCTAAATCGATATCGCTGGTGTAGGAACTACTAAAGGCTGATGTTTTAGATGAGCATTTACATTTGCCTTCCACACTTTGGTCTGATTTGCTTTTGGAAAACAACGACCATTTACTGGTTCCTAAGCTCGAGGTTGAAGTAGGTCTGGACTTGGTCTGATCTTTTTCATCTTGCTTCTTTTGAGACCGTCTCATTCGAAGACAAATAAAGACGGTACCGATAATGAACCAGAGTAAAATTATAGCCAACATTACTATCAAGATAATCGAAGAGGTAAAGTGTTTATGTGATACGCCTGCTTCTGGAACCACAATTTCTTGCTCACCTTCAGGAATACACGTATTCTCTCCTTCATCAACAGCACCCATTGCTTTCAGCGTTTCTTCTATTCGCAGTATTCCTCCAAAAGCAGAGTAGAATTTGTCGTCTTCAATTTTAGTTAACACATCTCGGCGCAACCAACTGAAGAAACTATTGTGAAATTTTAAAGTCGTGGCTTTGCTGGATTTCTTTTCTTTCAAACACTTGGTAGACGCTGAAAAGACAATTTTTATAAGAATAATGGGCAAAAAAAAGTTTCTCCTAACTAAGACACATAAGAGTCTGCTAATTTAAATGCTAATTTTATTTTGAGTGGAAGAAAACGGTAGTTACTTAAAAGAAAAAGAATTTATGTCAAAAGCCACATTATTATTAGTGAGAAAGATTATCGAAACAATCCATAAATTAAAGTTAAATAAAGCAATTGATATATGTTAGACTTATATAACCTCACACACATTTTGGCTCCTATATTAAGCCGAGATCTGACCGAACATGAAGCAGCGTTCTTCAATGGCGAAGAGAAATAGAAAATACGTAATAGAAAAAGATAAAATATAAAGACGGGAACCAACGCAACGTGAAATACCGTTTTCCCTCAATATTTATAGTTTACGATTTCTGATATAGAGCAAAACTGTCTATTGACCTTGGCGCGTACTATCCCGTCGGTCGTTTGTCGGTAAATTAAGGCAGTTCAAAGTATGTTGGAAGTTGATGCATAAGTGTACACCTACACTGGAACCGTATTTCTCCCGATCCGATATCAGGCGACGTCGCCCGACGTCGGATTGAAAACAAACTCAAGGTATTAAATGATAGTGCCTACACTGCTTCCATGACGAAGCAGTATAGGCACTCTGATTTAATACCTTGAGTTTGTTTTTAATTCGACGTCGTCCGACGTCGCTAGACATCGGATCGGGAGAAATACGGTTCCAATGTAGGTGTACACTAACACGTATTTACCCCTCTTTTCCTTCCGACGCCACTAGGATCTGGTACGGTCAGTTTAGTGCTAATTTTACTATAGAGTGATCTAACGAAGTTGTTTTGGAATTTTTATCATTGTATAAATTACCCAGTGTACTAAAATTTCTACCGCAAACACTGGTAGCGTTAAACTAAACTAAACCCTCGACATTAGAGGGAACACCCAAGTAATAATACAGCAACATTTCGGCGTATGTTCCCATGTTAAATCGCGTAAGAAATCGAGGACATGTTGAAAATGGGAGGGGATGAAAAATAAAAAGACATAGAAAAAAGCAAATCTAGTGGCATTGCCAAAGTATCTTCATTGCTATTGATGAGATTTTGAAGTACGAGGCATCAAATTAAAGGGGATTGGACACCGAGGATAACAGAGTAAAAACAAATATTTTCACATTGCCAAAAGGGCATTATATCGTATCTTCGAAGTGAAAAAATCAAAAAAAGGTGTACGCCATTAAGACTTTACACTCATTCTGACATTATGTCCAAACCATCCAAAGTACCTAGCGTACCACTGTTATACACAGACTATGTACCATTACACAAGTCGATTATTGCTATATACAAGCCGCTAACTGGCGAATCACTTCTACATGATCTCTCATCAAGTGTTTAGTTATTAACACCACCCGACAATTCGATCAATCCACCTTCTCATGTTATCTGTCGGCTACAACTGTTCCGTGATGATCGAACGCCTACAGGTCAAGCAGATCTGCCATCAGATACATCTGATACACAAACCGATCCAACAAACACTGTCGATTCTTTAACTATGTCCAAGCCATCCAGTCCCTATGGTAGTCGCAAAAAAGACACTATGACACTTTTCCTCTTTTCGTCTGCCACTTCTTATAATGTACAGGGTATAGTCAAAACAATTGTTCTATACTCTCAAAACAATTTGTGTAATAAACAGGAGAGGTGTCGCTGAAAAGAGAAGGGGGTAGCGAATACATTCATAGAAAAATCAAAGATAACAGCATGTCAAAAGAAGATTACATCGTATATTCGTTGTTATTGGTGCGATTGGCGCGAGTGATATGTTGAATGAAAGGGGATAGCCCATCGACGAATTTTAAATAGAAAAACATACTTTGACTTGTGGCGGCTAAACCATCCACATATTTCTTCTTCTACTACTTCTTGTTGCCTTTTATCGATTTTGAATCCAGACTCTAACAATGTACGTATATAAAACCTGTAACGTTCCAATGGGGAAAGTTAACCGTAACAATTTGCATACAATATTATATCTACGTCAATTCTACTAGTTATTATACATTCGGAAAATATTATGTATTTAGGTTGGTATTTTACTTACGACCTACGGTAAGAATGAAAATATATGTTGCCATAGAAAGAGTGTTTATCAATTTCGATTAAAAAGGTATATATTGATTATGAGTTGCATTTTATATTTTAGGTGTAAACTAGTTTATGTTGAGATAGAAAAGACCTTTAACATTTGTCAGTTATATTGTTGATATAAAAGCATAAGGTATATGGTGTTTGCGAGCTTTATATTGTATGAATAATATAAAAAGGTACACATAAACTTATCTACGACCATAAATTAATTTAGAATATATAACAGCAGTCACCAACAAGAAGGTATGGTTACATGATTACTGGGAGAGGTTATGTTAGTATACTTAACTTACTAGGATTCGATCATTAGTTAACTTGGTTTAGCAGATATCTTTTTATTGATAGAAGGGACATCTTTTATATATTCTTATTGATGTTACGATATCTTATATATATATTACAGGATCCAACTTGTAAATGCAAGACATTTCGGAGACGGCTATCGCCGTATTACCGTTCTCCTTCGCCAATCCTTCCGGTCCATGGCATGCTCCTCCTCCAAACCTCTCGATTCCATCGCTCTTCGAATTCCTTCATTCCACGAGCGTCGATGTCTACCTCTTTTTCTTCTTCCAGGGGCTTCCATCTTTGAAGTTTTTGATGCCAACGTTCGTCAGACATTCTCAACAGGTGTCCAAACCATTTTAAACCTCTTCTCTCTATTCTGTCAATGACCGTTTCTGTAGCATTCATGTTGTTTCTTATAGATCCGTTGGTCTTTCTTTCCAGCCTTGATATTCTAGCACTTCTTCTCAAACAATACATTTCAACAGCCAACAATCTTCTCTTCAGGTCTGCATTAATTGTCCATACTTCAGAGCCATAACAAAGAACTGATTCAACCATGGTTTGCCCTATTCTTTTTTTGTTGCTTTTGGAAATGTTGCGATCCCACCATAATGAGTTCAGACATACTACAATTTTACTTTCGTGATTTATTCGGTGTTTAATTGCGGTTTCTCCCAAGCTGTTCTTATCAATGAGTGCACCTAAATATTTAAATTTCCTTTTTTTTTCGATATCGGTTACGATATCTTTAATTTAGTTAAATACAATTCATTAGTTACTATGTTGTATAGCATTCAAAATGAATTATCGGGGATAAATTTGTTCGATAACTCTAGGTTACCTGATCTTAAAACTATCAGAATTTCGAGTAAATTTATCAACAAGTAAGTACTTATTAATTTCACAGTAATTCCGATTTAAGTTCCCATAGTTTAAACACATACACACCACACCCTTATATCACACTTTTTACGAAGGCAGTAGTGAGTAAACTTTCAGCTATATTTGTTTGTTTCCCTTAATATAAAAGGATCTCGTAAATCAGCCGCTCTTATTGTTTATCCCTTGCTCTAAGTATCTACTGTAGATAATTTCTATAGTATTCTAGATAATTTTACTGTTAACTTCTTTAATTAGTGATTAAAAGAATAGGAATTAAAGGAAAACCACGATAAAAAAGAGAAAAAGAACAATCTAGAAAATAGAATCAACAGTAAAATCAGAGCTCAAGCTCAAAAGTACATTATATCACAGAATAGCTAAGAGTAACAAGGATATATTAAGTCTTTCTTTTGCACTTTTTGAAATGTTTTATGTAAGAAAAATTGATGAATTGATTATGTATGAAAATATGAATCTAGTTTAGTCTTTCATTTACCTATGAAAAACTTAAGTACAATATGCGAGGCTCTCCTGGACTCGATATTTCTTAACGTGAATCTCTTAAATGGTACCGCTATTGCTGAAGGTCGTACCCTAGAGTCAAAAAACGGCAAAGGAAAGGTAATTTCTGTTGTGACCACCGTGGCAGTATTATTCTCGCTTTGAGAATTTTGTTCAGATTCCATATAAAAGAGCTGGCTACAGCAGCTCGGTATTTTTGGTGTTTCCGTTTCAAAATTGATTGGTTCTATGATTAGCACCGGCGTGGTTGTCATGGGTTTAGGCCAGCCTTGACCGTTGGTGCGCAAGAACCATTTGATTTCTTCAAAGAGCTGGATTAGTTTCTCCATGCTGGTGTAATCTGAAAAGATGAAAAAGGTTTATATAAGGTAGACGAGCAATTTTTTTATTGAAAGAAATGAGCTATATACATATTAAGGAATATTAAGTCTAAAAAATTGTTTTTCGTCTTCACCGAAAAGGCAGTTACTTTTACATTGGATTAATTTAGCTATCTCGACGATACCTAAGTTTTTAAATACTCTGGTATATAAGGAAAAGAACTGTGAAGACTAGCAGATTCTACAAAAACTGGTTTATTTGCTAATAGAGTGACAGTTGATCTTCTAGGACGAAATTATTGTAAAATGAGACTGTACCATTGCGTGATTGACAATATATTTATTTCTTCATTACATAGTGGATTGAGTTGCAGTTTACATATTGGATTAAAATAGAGATAAAAAAATTGATTCTTTTGTTTTGTATGGTTTGTTTGCCCGTCTGAGGGTTGAGTGTAACAGTTCAATGGCGGATTCGAATTTAGCATTATAAGTAATGCGGGAGAAAATAAAGTCGAAAGTTTTTAATTTCGTTTCCGAGGAAACTGAGCACATGTAACTCGTCAAGTATAATCTGTAGTACGCACAGACAAGTTACATTCACATAAATCTTCTCTTCTTGACAGGAAATAATCTATTTGGGAGGAATTTTGTCCACTTTTATACGCATTGTTTCTAATTCAAGAACATCATCTCCAGCTTTATTTCTAGTTCCACAGCCTAGTCCTCCAAGTATTGCTTCATATTCTGTCATCTCCTATTATGACACTCTGCTCTGATGAAATATCACTTATTTCTGATCATAGAAAGCTTTTCTTTCATTCTCATCCAGACCGATTTGAGAAGCGTAAACAGATAACATTTAACACTTCTTTATCACACAAAATTTATTTAAAAAGTCGTTTGTAAAAGGTATAATAATAAAAAAAACTTTATCGGGGTACATCACATAACGTTTTCGATATATATATATATATATATATATATATATATATATATATATATATATATATATATATTCCATCATCAGTGCTATCCTAAAAAGTATAACCACTTTAATTAAATCGAACGTGAAAGTTAAAATTTTGACTAAGGTGATTACAAAAAGTATGGTTAATACTTACTGGATGGACATACATGGGTAACAACCCTTTAAATGATATATGATTAATTTTGAGTTCTTCTTCTTCTTCTTAGCCTTCTGTCGTCCATATTTGGACATAGGCCTCTTCCAAATCCTTCCATCGGTCTCTATCCTGAGCAACATATTTCCAATTTGTTCCGGCTATTCTTCTAATGTCATCAACCCATCTCATCTGTGGTCTTCCTCTTGGTCGTTTACTTTCGTAAGGTCTCCAATGTTGTATTGTAGTATTCCAACGTTGGTCTTTCTGTCTAGCAGTGTGGCTCGCGAAGCTCCGTTTAAGTTTTGCAATTTTTATTGTTATGTCCTCGACTTTTGTTTTGGATCTTACCCAGTCGTTCCTCTTTATATCTGAAAGTCGTATACCTAACATTGTTCTGTCCATTGTTCTTTCTGTTGTGGCTAGTTTATTCATGTTTGCCTTGGTTAGGGTCCAGGTTTGACATCCATATGTCATGATAGGAAGGATGCATTGGTTGAATACTTTGCTCGTCAAGTATTGGGGTATTTTGCGGTTCTTAAGTATCCAACTAAGTTTTCTAAATCCTGCCCATGCTAGTCTTGCTCTTCTAGTAATTTCCGCACTTTGGTTCTCTTTGCCAAGTCTCAAGATTTGGCCTAGGTAGATATATTCCTGGATTTGTTCTATCTCACTGCCGTTTATATGTCTGTGGTTGTCATTATTTTTGTTTTTTTCATATTCATTTTTAGGCCGACGTATTGGGAGCTGGCTGCTAGTTCCCCCAACATAATTTGCAGTTCCTCGAATGTGCTCGCTATAATCACTATGTCGTCAGCGAATCTGAGGTGGTTTAACTTGTTGCCATTAACGTTAATGCCATAGGTTGACCAATTTGTAGTTTTGGAGACGTCTTCTAGGGCTAGGTTGAAAAGCTTTGGCGATATTATGTCTCCTTGTCTCACTCCTCTTTTAATGGGGATGGGATTTGTATTTTCGTCTAGTTGTACTATTATAGTTGCATTTTCATATATGTTATGTACTAGTTGCCTATATCTCGAGTCTATTCTACAATTATTAATAGCTTGTTCTATGGCCCACATCTCGATACTATCAAACGCGTTTTCATAGTCGACGAAGGCAAGAAATACGGGTAGTTGGTATTCATTTGCCTTCTCTATCAATGTTCTCATTATCAGCAGATGGTCTGATGTACTATATCCTTTGCGGAAGCCAGCCTGTTCAACCGGTTGGTAATTATCCATTTTGTAGTTTAACCGGTTATTAATAATTCTCATAAATAGTTTGTATACTTGACTGAGCAACGATATAGGTCTATAATTCTGTAGATCACATTTGTCCCCTTTTTTGTGTAAGAGTATTACTAGACTCTCGTTCCATTCTTTAGGGATCTGGCTATTATGGAGACATCTATTAAATAGCTCTTTTAGTACAGGGATTGTTAATGTCTTGCTTGTTTTCAAGAGCTCGGCAATTATACCGTCGTGTCCTGGAGCTTTATTATTTTTTAGTTCTTTTAAAGCTCTTTCTATTTCGTATCCCTTTATATTTGGTAGTACTTCTGATCCCACGTTTTTTATCTTTCTTTTGACGTTCTCCTTTGTTCTTTCATTAGGCTGGCCTTGCGAGCTGTACAAGGATGTGTAGAAGTCTTCAACAATATTTGTTATTTTATATTTGTCCTTCTCTACCTTATTGTTAGCGTCTTTAATTTTGATGATTTTTTGAACTCCCAGTGCGGGTCTTAGACATTTTAAGCCTCTGTTGTTTTCAATGACTCGCTCTAGGTATTAAGTTCTCGTTCCATTTTTGTATGTCGCGTTTTAGTTCTTTTCTAATTGTTTTATTAAGTTCTCTATCTTCTTGAATATGGCGTTTGTTTTGCGCTAGTAGTTGTCTTCTTTCCGTCATTAGCTGTTTAGTTTCATTGCTTATTTTGTCTTCTTTAGTCCTTGTTTTCTTTGCGACCTGTAGTCCTGCTGCGAGAAGGTTTTTATTTAGGATTTTATTAATCTCGTCAATTTGATGTTGATTATGTGAAGGATCAGATTCGAACTTATCCGGTAAGACCTCTCGGAATTGCTCTTCATTTGTTCTTAGTTTAAAGGCATCTATCCTCGTTGTTTTTTAAAAAATCATTTTTCTCTCTTCTTTCATGTTAATATTTATTTTTGCTCTGACTATACGATGGTCACTGCCCGTTGTTACGTTGTTTATTGTTGTGACGTCTTCAAATATTCCTTTGTTGTTTGAGAGAAAATAATCTATTTCATTTTTGGTCATTCCGTTAGGTGCGACCCATCTCCACTTTCTGTTAGGTTTCTTTTTGTAGAAGGTATTCATAACATATATGTTTTCTTGTTCCAGGAATTCCACGAGTTTTTCTCCTCTTGTGTTTCTTGTGCCGAATCCAAAATTTCCAATCTTGCTTTCAGAGTCTTCAATCTTACTTCCAATTTTGGCGTTAAAGTCTCCCATTATTATTATTTTGGATTCTTTGTTGTTGTCTATAGCTTTTTTAACGTCTTCGTAAAAAGAATTTATTTCCTCTGAAACAACTTTGAGTTACATTTTTGATAATGAAAATTTAGGATGTCTAACTTGTCTAAGATGTCTCAGTCAGACAATAGAAATTGATTACAAGTCAACGTAAGACTCCACTGAGGTTGTTCTTAGACGAAGTGTCTATGAGGACTTGTTGATAGCAACTGATTAAAATAACATATTAACGCGGAAGTCTGAACAAAGCAGTCGATGTAACCGGAGGTATGTGTCTAAATGTGACAGTAGCCAGCAATATGAAAAATTAAATATGTGAAAATTTGATTGATAATATGAGTAGCAACCATGAATATGTTGTAATTTAAAGTATGATTGATTTTAAAGTTTGTTGGAAATTTATAAAATGGGTATTATTGTAGGTGGACTAAATGGTTGATCAAAATTGTGAATATATGTAGGCAACCAACTACACAGATATCTGAATTCATTGGTAGAAAACTACAGGAATTTAGTTTCCTTGTGAACTTTTTTATCAACTACAAATTTCACTGTCACTATTCTACCACTCATTCTTTCAACTTCTACTTCGTTATCTTTCATTTGTCTATTAGCAATTATACAATTCCACTCTTAAAGTTAGCACATGAGTGCAAGTTAGCACAAATGAGCTCCATTTGTAAGTTGACAGTACCCTAATAGATGGTAGAATGCGTCTACAACATATCTCCATGATTGTCTAGAAATTATTCGAGATTCATCGATAATTCGTTGTCTTAGCTCTGCAAGACTTGCTGGTTTAGTTTTGTAAACTGAATTTTTCAAGTATCCCCAATAAAAATAATCTTAATCTCTAATCTGAAATCAGGTGAACGTGGATGCCATTAAATTCTACCTCGTCTACCAATCCATCGTCAGGGAAATATCTCATCTAAATAAAGCCGAACATTTACACCAAAATGAGCTAGAGCTCCATCTTGCTGAAACCATATCTGAGAAAAATTGGCCCCAAACAAGTTTCTCATTGTAACTACAATTTCATTTCTAAGTAATATTTCGTAACTATATGACGTAAAGTTTTCTTCGATAAAAATGGCCCCAATTAACTGTACCGAATATCGTACTATACTGCTAATACTACTGACCATATATTTAATTTTTGTGGTATTTGAATATTATTTTCACGCATCCAGTGTTTACGTCACTCCAGTACCTTAAATTGTGTCGATTTACACTTCCACACAGTGTAAAGGTTACTTCATCGGAAAAATATATTCTGTTAATGAAATTTTCATCATTTTCAATTTTATCAATAACTACCTTAGTAAACTCTAATCTACGATCGAAGTCATCTTCACTTAATTCTTCCAATAAGTTTTGTATGGTTTAAATTTATT